ATCTGCACTACCTCCACTGTCCCTGCTTTTTGCTCACTGCGACTCTTGGGCTAATCGAGCTTCTTTTCCAGGTATGCTGGATCTGCTTGTGGTTACTAACAAGATCACAGCTCCTGAGGGATTCACGTTTTTTTGGTTTACAAAATCCGTTCGTCTTGGCTGGCTGCTTCCTCTGGGTAACACTGAAAGGGACTATTGTTGCTGTCCTTTTTGCCAAAGAGGACACAACTTGAGTGAGCTAGAAAGGCTCATGCCAGGTGGGGCAGGTAGGCAAAGAATGCTTATGAACAGCTTCCTGGTGGAAATAAATTCCTAGCATCTTGCAGAATTCTCACCATAAATGCTGCGAAGCAGACATGTTGTAGATGATGGGTCTAAGGATCAAGGAGTTCTGATCGCTTGTCTGTCCCAGGCCTCTCTCCATCAAGAAAACATGAAATGACTCCTGAGTGTGTGCCAGGTATATGGGGAAGATAAAGGGATTAGTGCTTACTGTCTACTTAAAATGTGCCAGGTATTTCTCCTGATCACTTTGAGGTCCTGTTAGTCTGGGTGGAAACCAGCAGATGAGAGGGAAAAGGATGTATGGGGATTAAAGACCAGGGGCCTCATGAGAATTTTCAGGAAAGGATGGATGTGAGATGAGAGGAAGCTGAGAAAATTGGGGGAGGGTGTGTGGAGATGGAGGGAAAGGGCATTGGTGCAACCCTGGCCAGGAACTCCCCACTAAGCATCCCTACTGATGCGTGGCACAGAACTGGGTGCCCGCTGTGCTGGGCTTGGGGCTGAGCCACCTGGCTACAATTCACGTGCTTTCAGCTCTCTCTGTGTGGCAGAGCTGAGCCCCAGGATACCTGTGGTTCCATCCTAAGGGCAACAGGAACCACTGAAGGGCTCAAAAATGCCCAGGCTGTGGTGAAACATAGCTATGTGAGAGTGCACTGAGAGAAGCAGGTGGGGGAAAGTTTCTTGGAGTAGGCAAGAGGTAGCTCGTAAGGATGGGAGCCCAAGAAAAGTTCTTTGATGTTAAAAATAGTTCACTGTCCAGGCCAGGCCAGATTCCAGAGAGGGCAGAGAAGTTGTGTTTTGTGATGTAATTTCTGTGAGCGGGGCAGTTCCTTTGCTGTCGCAATAATCATCACTACGATTGACTAATCCCATACTTCCTGTCAGACACTTTGAATACTAATTATCCTCACTTGATAAGGAAGCTGGGGCCCAGGGCATTGGGTCACAAGCTAAGAAGTGGGGAGGACAGAATCTCACTGAACTTGACCTTTTGACTTATGATGCGTCCCGGATGCAAATCTGTTTAGGCCTTGAAGAAGTGAGAGCAGGGGTGATGGATTTTTTCTTTCCAAAGGCCATTTGGCTATTTATAGTATCAATTTTAGACTATACAAAATTATCAAACCAAACTTTTAGCCTGCTAAAGATTCATTGTATTTCAAGTCCTGCCTGCAGTTGCCCTGGCTGGGCCACACCAAATGATTATGTGGACCTTCTATGGCCCACAATGTCATTCATGTTCTACTCTTGCAAACATTTTATTATCCCAACATATTTTTATATAGGTGATACACACATTTTACACAAAAGACTCTATATACTCATGTGACTGAGCCTTTGATTTCCCTTACATGTGTGCTAGCAGAGTTACTTTTGTTTCATGTTCTTCAGTGAGAACTTCTGTATGTTTATAAGCAAACTCATATATGTGGCTGTTTTTCCTAAAAATTAAGTACGCATTCTACATGCTGTTACACACGGTGCTCTGTTCACATAGCTTGGAGGTAATGGTAAATTTTTGGCCAAAACAAAAAAGTGAGATTTCTTACTGCCTCAATGTGCTCTTGGCAAATGGCTTGTGATGGGCACTGCATTCTACTCCAACACATATCCAGTAATAAAAGTATGTGCTTTATCTCTATCTTTGTGGGGAGGGTTTCTGGGTTGGGAGATTTTGTTTCTAATTACATGACAGTAACCTGAGCATGGGATACCTCTAATCTTTTTATATTTTCCTCTTTTGGAAAAACGTTGGCAGCCTTAACTTCCCTCTACTGCTCCCAGGCAGGGATCTTCAGTGGAGTGTTTTGAGTGTGACACAAATTTGGTGTATGAAGTTATAGAGCTGCTGGCTGGGAGGCTGGCATCGGAGAAAGCTCAAAAATTGGTGGCAGTTCCAGCAGCATCACCTCTCAATGATCTTCCTTTGATTTATGGTATCACAGCCTGGCGCCTGGGTCAACATGACCCTGCTGTCTGAATGCTTGGAGCAGGGGTCAGATGGTCCCATTTCAATGGAGACAGGTATGGGCAAACCTCTTTTAGATTTCCAAGACTCCCAGTTTCCTAAAGTCCCCTCTAGTGGCTTTGGTTGTGATCTACTGGCTTTTATTTGAATTGAGGTTCTTTACATAAGCCTCAGGCCTGGGATGTTAGCTACAGGTGCCTCCCTTCGCTCTTTCAGGATGCCTTTCCTGGATCACTCCATTCATACTACAGGCTGTGGGAACATCTGGAATTCCATAGTACCTCTACATTGAGTGAGCCCATTTTCTTATCTGACTCATGCATCAGACTGAGGCCAAGATCAAGTTTTCTCACGTTTCTTGGCATAGAATTATTACCACATCAGCACAACTGTGTACGTTGTATGTAGCTTTTCCTGTCTTCTCAACACACAAAATATCCCTACATGTGCCTTAATGGTCTGCTTGCAGTGCTGATATTAGTAACCTCTTTTGGTATAAAAGGAAAGAGACTGTCAGAAGTGAAGCCACTTGCTTCTCCCTGCCCCCCACTGGGCACTAAGATGCTGAGTCAATGTGTCTAAGAGTCATATTTCATTGTTGTATCTACCAAGCTGACCCTGGTGGCCTAGTTTCCATCTTCCACTTCCTCTGACCTGATCATTCTCTACGAACCCCTCCAAATCAACTCTCTGACCTTTCCAGCCCTGTTATAAGCCCTGTTGAGGCTGAGCTCTGCACCTGGCTGCTTTCTGACCTTTTTGAGTCTTGGCTTCTAGTTAAACCTGCTCAGTGGTATCAAAAGTTTGAAATAGAGTGGTTAGCAAATCCTGCCCCACCCCTTCCCCCCATTCATTGCTGTTCTGTGATTGTCTTCCCTTCTGACCTCTGAGATACCCTAGCTAGGCTGACTCAGGCTTTAGTTCCCCTTGGAACTAAAGGGGACTTGATTCCCCAGGCTTTAGTTCCCAAGCTTGGTTCCCCCATGCTGAGAAATAGGAACTGATTTCCCACCGTGGCCAAACCTAGATGCTTCCATCTTCATCTCTTTACCCAGTCCTTTCTTGAAACTGCCCCAGCTGTTCTGCAAATGTTGTTTTGCTTTAAACTCTCCTTTTGAGTGACCTAGCTGTTTCCCTTGGAACCCCAACTTTCTCTAGCTGTAGCCTGGCCCCTATTTCCCTTAGTCTTTCTTCTAACTTAGAAGTTTCATAGCCTAGCCAAGCTGCAGCTGTGAAAGACACCACTTGAACCTGCTCTAGGGAGATGTGCTTAACTAGAACAGAATGGGTCAGATTAGCCCTACTTATTTCTCAGGCACCTGCCATAGAGTGGACACGTGATGGACTCAGAGATGTAGTAGAACAAAGAGACAGTTCAGTTCTCCAGTTTGCTCCCTGACTGGGCATGTCACTGCCCTCCCTGAACTGTGGATGATGTGGGAATCTCAGACTTCAAGCTCCTGGGTTCACTTCAGAACATAGGAGAAGGCAGGTCCCTGGAGGCTATTCAAAACTCATTCTAGAACAACTATTTCTTGGTTAACAAACAACAGAGTTCCAGATAATCAATTTGATGGTACAGTTTGCTTCTGGCTCCTAGGAGAAGATCTCGCATGCTTTACAGGTTTCCTGGACATGTGTAACTTTTCCAAGTCATCGGCATATTTCTAGATTTTAAGAGACTTGGCATGTGGCCATGAGTAGTGTTGTCTGAATCAAGGTCTGTTTGTTGATTTTGATGGGGTGGTGAAAGTCACATATTAGCTAAGGTTTGCTCTCTGCCATGTATCTTCTTGGAAGATAGCCTGGGTTGCTGAAGGACTGGATTCCTAATTAAATCATTAGAAAAGTCTATATTTTCTCTCTTGAAATTCAGTACTTTAGACCAAGGTAAAATCAGTCGCCACAGATGATACAGGATCATTTTAAGAAAGATTATTGGTTGGATTCTGTCTAGGGTACTTTCCTAATGTCCCTAGTCTGCAATTTGAAGCTTTCTCGTTGACACTTGCACCTGTACTCCATATCCTTAATTTCCGCTATCTCCTATATTTGTTTTTGCTTTTTAACAAGTTTCTCCTCAACACAGTGAGACCTCAGAGATAAACACTTGAAAAATTCTTGTTTAAGCATGAGAAATAATATTTCTAAACTCAAGAGTTTTTAAAGTAAATCATATATAAAGATATAATACAAATATCTATTAATAATATAATGCTGCTATAAATTTAAATAAAATCTAGTATGTTATAAATAAAATCATAATTTATTACCACACTCATAACAATTCCATTTTATTAGGAAAATTATAATATACCATAAATTGCTAATCATGATCAACTCCAAGAGAATATGGGTATGAATTGTTTTATTCATTTCATTATCCGTGCCTTTTTGGCTTTTTTCAATGGCCAGTATTAGTTATGTAATTCAGATTATTATTTTTTCCTTTTCAAGAAAAAAAGATTATTTCTCAAGCATCAGTATATAATGATTATAATCCCCTAAAATATGAAGCTTGAAGTTATTCCAATATGAATATAACAAGGCACAATTATTCCCCAGAGCTATTCAAAACAAAAGCCCAGGTGAACTTTCCTAGCCCTCTCACTCCACATTTCCTTGGCAGATGCAGGCAAGGAAACTGATGCGTGATGGAGCTTGTCCTCCAACCAAAGCTGGAGTAACTGCTGGACCCCATCGGGCATCTGCTACCTCCCGATTCAGAGACAAGTCTGCTTACCTGGAACTGTACGCAGGCTTCTCCTTGAGTCCGGAGCTGGCTAACAAGCAGGTAGGCAGCGAGTCCTAGGAGGATGGAGACAGACACCAGGCAGCAGGTGCGAGCGCAGCCTAAACTGCTGCTTCTGCCTTCCAGCCTGGCTCTGGCTCTGGGGCTGCAGATGCCATCCTGAGGCAACATTTCCACGCTGACTATTTCTCCAAAGCCCAGTTCCAGGCTCTCTGCCATGCTTCCACTGGCGCTGGCGGTATCTCTGAGTCCTCCTGGGCAGAGAGACCCCTCATTAAATAGAAGACCAACTCAGTGGGTGAATTAATCACGCTGGCTACTCCTCCCCCTCTCCCCCCTCCCCACCTCCTTCAACAGCACACGGCTGTCCTGCCCTGCCCTGCAAGGGAATGCACCGCCTACAACAGAAACCAAGTTTGGTTTAAGGAAAAAAAAAAAAAAAAGAAGAAGAAGGCTTTCCCAAGCATATTTATATCCAGTCTGCTCATGTGCTCCTTCCTTCGTTTACAGAAGGAAGTTAGGAAAGTCCCTGGAGGAGGAGAAAAAGAATTCATCAAGTCAGTGGGTGGGACAAGTTAAAATGTACCTGCACCTTGCATTGCAGTTGGCCGGTGGTGCCAGCCAGGGGAGTATGCTTCTTCTGGAAGTGAAAGTGAGGGACGGGGAGGTGTGTGAGGCTTGCAGATGGGGAAACGGGAAATGAACATCACATTTGCCTCAACACTTTGGAAAGTGTCACCAAGCCTTCTGTCTTGTTGAGCCTCGTAAGAGCTCATTTTCACTGTGCAGAAAGGAATATGAAAACTCTGGAAGGTGAAGACAATTGCTGTAGGCCTTCTAGGTATGAAGACAGAGGAGATGGGGCATGACTTAGTTCTTTTGAAACAGACTTTGGAGTTCAGAGCACTATCATGTGAATGCGTGTGAAAAGGAAGTGAGTTTGTAGACTATGAGAACCACTATTAAGTACAGAGTGTGAGGTCATGGCTAGTGAGGACTGTGTGTGCAGGGAGGATATTGGCTTCTCCTCCCTGAATTTTGCAAAGTGAATTGAGCCTCAGGGATAAAGCTTCCTACATTGGCTGTTCTTAGGGCTCATAACCTGTGAAAAAGAGTGACTCTTACTAGACAATTTCTTTGTGACAGCCATTCATTGTAAGATAATTAAATGCATCAATGAAATTAATCATTTCTGAGAATTTTTTTTTTTTAAATTTTGAAAGGCAGAAAGGGAGGGTGGAATGCGAGGAGAGGAGAAAGAAAGAGAAAGAGGGAGGGAGTGAATGAATCTTCCATCTGGTGCCAAGCCTGAGCCAGGTCAAAGCCAGGAGCTCAGAACTCTGTTTAGATGTCCTCAATGGGCGGCAGGGGCTTAAGCCCTTGAGCCATCATCTGATACCCAGCAAAATGCACTCACAGGAATCTGGATTGGAAGCAGAGTATCAGAGAGTTAATGATATATTTGGAAATGAGATGCAGGTGTCCTAAGTGGCGGTTTGATCCTCTGATTTTGAGGCAGTAACGTTATCATTCTCATTTCACAGATAAGGAAGTTGAAGCTTGGGCACTAAGTGGTGAAGTGAGGATTGTGACCAAGTCAGAGTGACTCTAGAGCTCCCAGGTGTCATGCTCAGCACAGCCCATGCTGCTGTGCTGCAGGTACACAGGTGCAGGTTCTTGTTCTGCTCATGAAGAAGGTGCCCTCATGAAGGGCTGTGGCAAAGGCTTCTTGGAGCAAGAAGTGGTATTAAAGATAGGCCTGCGAGCCTAGAGAGAAGTGACGTTAGGGGAGAGTAGGGGACTCTGCCAAAGGTGGGTGCCGCAAAAGGAAAGCAAATGGCTTGTGACACGTGGAGATGCTTCCATAAAGCCTCCTTTTGGTAACTACGTCCACTTCTATCAAAGTAGCCAACCCTCCAGGCTACTTGGGAGGCCCTTACCTGGCCTGGACCCTTGCCAATGTTCAGATTCGTCTTGTTCTTTCCTAAGCTACCATCCCACAGACACCCTGCGGATCTGCTGTCAGTTGGACACACTGTTCCCACTGCTGTGGAAGCTTCCAGTCATCTCTTGTCATGATACCATGCTTGCATATTTCTTCACTGTGTGTAGTGCCTCCAGGATTCACTGAGACACTGTCTTTTATGTTCCTAATTGCTTCCTGTTCTTCACCTGTCATGGAATACTTTGTACTAGATTGTGTTTGTCATCTTCATTAGACAGGGAGCTCTGGAAGGGCAGGTGCAAAGTCACACTCCCACCCCCATGGCTGTTACTCCTAACATCGTAATGGTCACGTAACAGATTTGTGACTAACATCTGTTGAATAAGCACCGAATATATTTGAGCAAAGGATGGTTTTCATGGCCTTTGGAAACTCATTCTTGGTTCAAAAAGCCTATTACCAAATTGTACTTCGAGACTGATCTAATTCTTTCCTATTGCCAATAAACATTTGCTTTTGATGATGATACACAAAGTAAAGGGCATTTATATTAATTCCACTTTTAGGTGATTATGAATAAAACTGCTATGAATATTCACTTACATTTTTTTTCCAAATATGTTCTCCTTTCTCTGGCATAAATGCTGAAGAATGAAATTGCTGAGTCACATGGTAAGATGTGATCTTTAGACAAGTGTCCTGCTCTTTTGCAAAGGGGTTGTGTCATTTTACTTCTTACTAGCAGTGCTAGAAAGATCCAGCATCTCCTCTCCTGGATCCCTATTGTTTCTCCTTTTAGCCATTGTGATGATAATAACTCACTATGCTTTTAATTTGCATTTCCCTAGTGGCTAATAATAATGTTGAACGTCAAGTACTTCTTTTGCCATCTGTATTTTCCTCTTTGGGGAAACAGTCACAGATTTTTTTTTTTGGCTTGCACATAATGCTTGCTTTCTTCTTAATTTCCAGTGGTTGCAAAAGCCAAAGACGAGCTTGAAAGCCTACTGTGTCCACGCTAGTGCTCTTGGCATCAGGGATAGACCATTGAAGGGAACAGACAAAAATCCCTGCTTTCGTTTAACTTCTACTAAGGTGTGCTAGTCTACAGCCCCTAGTGGATGTTTGGAACTGCAGATAGTGCAGATAGCACTGAACCTTGACAGAGTATGATCTTTCCAAAAAGATTTATTTAATTAAAAGATAGGATACAGTGATATAGGTGGAGTGTCAAAGATGTTTCATCCACCGATTGACTCCCTGAATAGCCACCATGGCTAGGATTGGGTCAGGCCGAAGCCAAAACTAAAGGAATCCACCATGGGGGGAGGGGTATGGGAGGGGTGGGGGGAATCCCCAGCGCCTATAAAACTGTACTACATAATACAATGTAAGCAACAATAATAAAAAAAAAAAACTCCATGTGGATCTTCCACACAGGTGGCAGATGGCAAAGCACTTGGGCCATCTTCGACTGTTGTCCCAAGTGTTTCAGTAGGGAGCTGGATCGGATCAGTAGCTGGGACTGGAACAAATGTCCATGTGGGATGCTAGTATTATAGGCATGGCTTAACATGTCGCCATGTATGTTCTCCATCTGTGGTTACATTTAATCTGTTAATTAGACATATGGAGATATTAATAAAATAAAATACTTATAACAATTTACTGAATACATTGCCAGCATCACTACTTTTTAGTTTAGGGTCATTATTAAATAAAACATGGGTTGTGTGAACACAAGCTTTGTGATACTGCAAGTGTGATAGCAGAGATGGCTACTGATGGATGGACAGGTGACTGTATCAGTGTACGTGAGCAATTCAAAGGGATGAATCACATACCAGGTGGGGTGGGGCAGGATGATTCGAGAGAGTTCATTATGCTGCTCAGAAGAGCATATGACTTAAGGATACATTGATTATTTCTGGAATTTTCCACTTAATACTTTCAACTACGGTTTGCTCAGGCAGCAAAATCCACAGATAAAGGAGGTCAACCATATTCTAGTGAGGGCAGAGAAGAAGCAAATCAAAAGTTAATCTTATATTAGGTAGCTTTAAAAGGTTTAGAAAAATAAATAAAATAATACAAATAAAATAAAATGTAAATGGAGAGAGAAAATGATTTTAATAGCCCTTTAAGCCAAGGTGGTCAGAAAAGGCCCCTTCAGGGGAGCTATTTGAGTGGGTACCTGACTTAGGATCCTGGCGCATGCAAGGTGAGGACTTTAGCCTCTAGGCTACTATGCCAGGCCCAAACCTAGCGACTTTCTGTATTGATCAAAACTCTCAAGCAGGCTAGAGTCAGGCATTCCATATCTAGGCATGGGCCTGGTGGATATTCTTGTTCAACAGGAGATAAGTATTGTAGCATTGTAGGAGAGAACGGGAGTCATCCAGCTGGGCACTGTAGAATCATTAAGTGCAGGAATAACCACCCAACTCAGTCAAGAGGACACAACAATGTTGAAGGAAAAAGTAAATTTCCAAATTAGCAAACCAGTGATGGGCACAGGATTTAGAATGATAGAAACTTGAGCCAGGAGAGTTGGGAGGCATTGGTGAGAGGTTCTGTAACATACCAGATGGTGCATGCCAAGCTCCTTGCTTACATTAAATACCGTGGATCAACAGCCATTTATAACATTACAGTAACTGCCTACCTGACTAAATAAAAGGTTGTCTGAGAATACACCTTGGCAACAGTGTAACCTTGGGGCCACTGTTGTGGTATAGTGAGTAAAGGTTCTGCCTGCTCCCGCTGGCATCCCGTATAGTCACCAGTTCAAGTCCTGGCAGTTCTATTCTGATCCAGCTGTTCGTGAATGTGCCTGGGAAAGCAGAATAGTATGACCCAAATGCTTGGGGCCCTCAAGCCCATGGGAGAGACTGGAAAAAACTCCTGGATTCAGATGGTTTGTCTCTAGCCATTGAGGCTATCTGGGGAGTGAAGCCTCAGATAGGAGATCTCCATCTCTCACTTCCCCACCTCTCTGTAGCTCAATTCTTCATATACATGAAAATATCTTTTTAAAAAAGGTTTGACATAATCTAATGATTTATACAATTCCTGTTCTGAGTATCTGAAATCCTGAAACGGAACAGAATAAGTCATGGGTGCTACGTGTGGCTCCAACCGGCCTTCCTGTGAAGCATATGGATAAGCTTTACTGTACAGATCGCAGGGAATCTATTTTGACTTTACAGAGGAGTATTTTCATTTTCTTCCTAGTTTTTATTTCTGATCCAGACAGAAAAATGTAGATAGATATGGGAGGTTTGCTAAACCTCACCCTGCCTCCTCCATTGTTTAAAAGAACACACTTTCCCTTAAAAAAA